TAACCCGAAGTTCATAATTGTAGAATTTATCTTTGACTTAGTTACATAAAAAAGGTACCAAACTATCACTTTTTTCCTATTAAAGATACCGAATTATTTTTTACCTATTGAAGATACCAAACTATCAATTATTTCTATCGAAGATATCGAACTTTAAGTTTTTCCTATCAAAGATACCAAACTTTTATATTTTTTCTTACGACGTTAAATATTGATGACATGATATTTTTTCTGTAGAAAATCGCTAACATAACAATTTTAGTGTGATTAGACATTTTGATGTGACAATTAAAACTAACTTAGACATTTATAATATAAAAAATCTCAAATTAACCCCTTTTTTTATTATTTCAATAAAACCACCCATAATAAATAAAACCTATCAGAATGAAAACTTATCCTAATTAAAACCCATTATCTTTTTTTTTTTTTTTTTCTTTGTTTCTTTCCACTGGCTCTACTCCTTCTTCTTCTGTCCAGCCTCTTTTCTGTTTTTTTTTTTTTTTTTTTTTTTTTTTGGCCTTTCCTTGATTTTCATCTCTATGTCTTTCCACTTGCACTACTTCTTCTTCCTTTTCTTCCGTCCAGCCTCTTTTTTTTGTTTTTTCCGTTTTTGTTTTCCCCATTTCTTTCCATCTCCACCACTTCTTCTTCTTCCACCACTCATGGTTTAAGATTTGGATTTCTTTCATGGTTCAAGATTTGGGTTTGTTTTTGGGTATTTTTTGGTACCCAATTTGATTTTTGCTTGATTTGTGATTGTGTTAGATGTAGGGTTTGATTTGTACTTTGATTAGGTTCTGATTTGGTTTGTATTAGAGTTTTGACTAAATTCACCAATACAAAAAATGAAAATGAAAAGAGGATTGTAGCAAGGGAATAAGTGTGGAAGTAGAGTGGGGAAGAAAATGAGAAAGAAGAAAGAAAGGGACCGGAGGGGAGGGGAAGAAAAAAGAAAAGAAGATAAATAATAAAAAAAATTAGACTGAAAAGACGACTTTCACCTTTTATAGCCTAACAGAGTTCGGGGTCCTCTTTTTTACGCATTTATGAAATTATTGAGTGCATTTTGTACTGTTATTTTAATATTTTCGTTCCAGGTATATTTGGTTATTTCCGGTGTATTTTATGCTTTTTGTGAAACTAAAATGGGAGGAAGAGGTAAATTTGAAGAATTTAAAATATGAAAATGTACATATCTATCGTAAAAAAGTCCATGTCAGAGTCACATGTACATGTCAATCCTCATAAATTTTCACATACACATTTCAGAATTAAAAAAATCAACATACGTCATTTATTTTTAACGGTGTTAGAGGTTAATCTTTAAAGTGTATGATGGTGTAGAAGTTTTGCACTTTCAATATAAATAATTGATAGTTTGGTACCTTTAACAAGAAAAAAAATAATTCAATATCTTCAATAGAAAAAAAAAATGATAGTTATGTAATTAAACCTTAATTTTTTGAAATAGAGATTACATCTAGCTGTTTTCTGTGTTTGACCATTTTTCAGAATATTTGCAGCATTTTATTTTAATTATTTTCAGTTTTTATTTTCGACATTTGGCTTTAAATCTTCATGGTTTAAGTTGTTTTGATTTCTTTGTTCAAACCTTTCGTAATTATGGATTACTTAGCTCCCACACCAAATCTATTTTTCGTACTTGATTCTTGGTCACCTTTTATTGATACTAGTCCCGCACTTGGGAAGAAGGTCGGAAGTTGGCTCAACATTTACACTGAATATGTGGTCTCAAATTAATTCAAAAGAATAGAACAAGTACTCGCTTGCTCTTGAAGCATTTTGCACCGATAGCTCCATAAGCAAGTCGCATTTGGCTAGAGAAGCAAAATTTTTTATTCATTTTTTTTTTTTTTTTGTATTTTTCATTTGTTGTAACTTATTTATTTATTTTAATTCCAAAAGATCACCAACATAAGGTAATATAGATATTTTGAAGCCATCGACAGCTAGATTTAGGCATTACGACACCGCATGTAATGGCCAAGTGGCATGAACCCACCATTATTGAGTTTTTAATTTCGTTTTTAACCTTTTTTATTTTCTTTGGTTACTTAGGGTTTCATATTGGATGGTTTTGGTGTCGGCTTTGATTTTTTGACAGAGATAAAAGATTTGTGGATGATGGTTAATTATAATTTGTTGATGAAGATAAATGGATTAAGGTTAATACAAGTTCTTATGGTAATTTTGTGATTAAGGTATTTTGGAAGGTTGATAATTAGGTTTTGACTGTAAATTGAAAAAAAAAAAAAATTGATGAAATTTTATATGGGTGAATAAGAAAAGTTTATTAGGTAAATAAGAAAATTTTACATGCGGTGTAAAATTTTTGTGAACATAAAATTAACGAGTCTTGGAGTGATTTTGAGATTTTAATTTAAGGGTAAAAATGTCATTTCCATTTTAACAAGTTTTTATTAAAATATTTTAGCAAAATATGGGCTATGGTCGTATTTTCAATACTCAGAGGCGCTAAGCCAAATTTCATATAACTATGGCAATTGACCTAATTAACCCACTTTTATAATTTGTAATAAATATAATCATAATTATGAAAAAATAAATTTTAAATTTTAAAAATATTGATTTAATTTATTTTTATCAATTAAATTATAATTATAACTAAAAGTAACTATTTTAAAATCTATTATGGTAATAAGACTTTAAATCTAATATCATATAAGTATTACAACATATTAGTATGAATGTGGGTTTGATTGGGAAAACCCACAACCCAAAAACCCAACCCATGGCAATATTAGATTCTAGAAATAAGATGTGTCGGATTGAGGTGAAATTATGTTTGGGTTGGCATGAGTTGCCCCATAACCCCTAAATCGACATCCATATAGATGGTCAATTCTCTACAAACTCAAAACAAACAAGCTAAGAAGAATAGGCATTCTCCAACTTTCTAAACGATTGACTAGAAAATTTCAAAAATTCCAAATTTATTTATAATTCAACAAAATATATATATATATATATATATAACACTATTATTTATTTATTGCTATTTTTCAATTATTTTAGTTATTATTACCCCTATAAAAGGAAATTAATTATTACTATTAATGTGTCTTCTTTTTAACACAACGATCCTCAACCGGTGGTAATCTTCTTTAAGAAGAAGAATTTATTGTTCAAGGGAGATATTTTAAAGGAAATCAAAATATGAGGAGAAGTGGGGAATTTCTTTAAATGTTTTGAATAAAATTATATATTTTTCCAAACTTTAAAGAAGGTCTCCGGGAACTCCCTTTTATTATTTGTAATTGATAAAACGTGAATGAACAAATCTAATCATGCATTATATAATTATTGTAACTTTACATGTGGAGCTCACAAATACTATGGCTGACTTGGTGCATTATATTCTGGAAGCAACCTTTGCTTTATTATTATTTTACACATGAAGTTTAGGCATGTGAAAAGTAGTGGATCAGATTGGTCAAAAACCAACAAGTCTACTAATTTAATAGAATAAATAAACCCAAATTCAGTAGAATCTGTGAAGTTCGAAATTTAGACAAAATAATCATCACCGACGCCTCGATGGTAAAAGAGAAACTAACATAGTCTCCCAAGTTCGAGTTCACTTGATAGTAAAAGAGTAAAAAGAGAATTTAACATGATATTCCGAGTTTTCGTCTCCATGACTATTAATACGGGTGGTCAATAAAGCTTGTTGGGTGAAGCTTCAAACGCTATTCTGTCACTTAATAAATCTTCAAAACACTATCGTTTTGAAGATTTATTAAGTGACAGATCTCAGCCTTTGATTTAAATCTAATCTAACGGTGAAAATGAGGCCTTGAAGTCAACATATATAAAGCTGAAATTTCACAGAAACGTAGCAGCAGTTTTTCATCCTTCTTTATCGCATTTTCATCTCTACTGGGTTTTCCTTCTTAGTTTTGTTAATCTTCAATTTGTGTAATCTTTTGCAATTTATTGGGTAAATTGTGAGTAGAAGAAGTGTTAGATTCTTCTGATTGAGACGCTTGTAGTAGTTGTCTTTGAAAGTAGATTACGAGTGATTGAAGGTTGGATGATTGTGTGATTTGAGTGGCTGTTCTTGATTGAGTTGTAATCTGTAATTGGATTGATTCTTATAGTGCAGTGAGCCTCCATTTTACTTGGAGCTCAACATGGACGTAGTTTATTCCTTTGGGATAAACGAACCACGGTAAAATTGGCTGTGTTCTTGATTCTTGATTCTTTATTGTTTGTGTTGTTTCTTGAGTGTTTGCTGGTTGTGTTTGATAGAGGAACAGGTTGGGTTGAGTTTAGTTTGATTGATTCTTAACAAAACTCTTATACAGCTGGTAGTTCTAAGGTTCTAGGGAACTAATTGAAGTATACGCAAACTGTTTCGGACACAATGTGTCATCAAAAAAAAAAAATTAAGAAAAAATTTATTATTATTCTTAACATTTTTTAATATTAAAAAAAAATAAACTAATGAATTATAGATCTCTTTACACCTCATATTGGCGGTGATTTCATAATAAAACCATTAGTTTGTAAAAGGACATAGTTGAATTTATAAAATTGTAAAGAAAACATGGATAAGTTGGTTGAANATGTCGTTTACTCTAAAAAAAAAAAAATTAAGACAAAATTTATAATTATTCTTAACATTTTTTAATTCTTATCAATATTAAAAAATAAATAAACTAATGAATTATATATCTCTTTACACCTAATATTGGCGGTGATTTCATAATAAAACCATTAGTTTGTAAAAGGACATAGTTGAATTTATAAAATTGTAAAGAAAACATGGATAAGTTGGTTGAATAGTCAAAAATAAAAAAAAATAAAAAAGAAACTTTTGGAAGCAACAAGGCAACAGCCACCGATATTGTGTCACGAGTTGGCAAAGCAAAAGTAGCTTTATTTCATAGTATTTCTTGTGGAAACAAAACTCATATAATTAGAGTATCCAACATGTGCACGCATTAGATTAATCATGGCCCATTACCATTAGGCATTAGCTTAGCCATCAGCCATGTCGTCAAGTCTTGACAGACCAGGCAACGTCAACAAAAGTGTCTTCTTTATAATCTTATTATCATGGAATGGAAACTACTACTGTAGTATCTCTTTGAATCTTTCCTCTCCCCTCTTCTTTCTCTAGGGTAACCGACTCTCTTCCTCTTTCTCTTGAAAAATCTATCTTTTTACATTCAAGTTCATGAATAATATTGAGTAAGATTTTAGTGGTTTATGTTTTGTTGCTTGTGAATTTATAATTTTTATGAAAAAAAATGGGTGGTGGGTTGTGTGGAAAAGTAGGTTATTTGAGTTCAATGGAGATTGAGGATGTGCGTAGTGTTGATTTAATTGAAGAATGTTTTATATGTTGTTAATCTTTTTAAGCTTGCTTGCTTTTTGTAAATTATTCAGGGATTTGGATTGGGGATGGTTTTGTGAAATGAGGAATTGAGAATATTTGAATGTTTATGATGTTTGATGTTGTAAATTATAGCCTGAGTTTGGTGGGAAGAAATAAAAGAATAAGGTTTAATTTTATTTCTTTTGTGGTAAATCCATATTGCAAGAGATTTATGTTATTTTGATAATCCAAATTTCTGGTTGCCAATGAAGTTTTATATTATGTTATCTCCTTCATGATAAGTAAAATGTCATTAGTATTATACTATCTGAAATTTATATTGTTATACCTTATTGGTGATTTCCGATACAGTTATAAAATTTCTCAGCCATGGGAAACACTGGATCAGCATATGATGAAGATGATTTGGTACATCAACCACGGTCTTATGCTGGAGGTTTGACCGATTATGGTCATCAGCCTCCCTCTTATGCTGGAAGTTCAACCGATTATGGTCATCGGCCACGGCCTTACTCGGGAAGTTCCATGGATCCTGGTCATCAACCACGGTCATATACAGGAAGTTCAATAAGTCATGGCCCTCCGGTGCCATCATATGCAGGAAGTTCGACAGAACATAATTATCAACATCCAATGCATCCTAAACGTATAGCTGACATTTTCAGCTCTTTGGATCAGGTAGTAAAACTCAAACCATGCCAATCAACCAAACATGAGTTGAAGTTACCATTTGGATAGGGTTTAGAATGAATTGGAGATTCAAAACCGGTTAAGCTACCCTAAGTCTGTATAGTACATTTGTTTGCTGAATGCAATAGGTTTACATAACGTAGTCAACCTTTGTGGAATTTTCTTCAAAAATTGACTTTGGCCTAGCATGATTCTTTTTAGATAACTTGTCTTTGCGCAAATGTAGTGTGCCAAGAAATAGCTTGGATATCAAATGTGGTTTACCTCTTAGCTGGGGTTATTTCCATTGCCTTCTGGTTTTGTTTGTGACAGTTAGGCTCCTAATTATTGCATTTTACACCATGACCTTCCCAAATGCAAGGTTTTAGCTCTGCCCTGAGCATATATGGACAAATGATTAACGACTTTAATATAAAGGACTGCAGCAGATTTTGAACCAGTGGCAGATAATAACCGATCATTAAGAAAGTTTCCATATTTATATCAGAGAGTATATCTTGAAAACAACATTTGATGTTATTTATCATTTTAAGTTGGTCAGCTTATATATAATCTGTTGTTAGAGCTATATTCTAAATAACAATGTGTTACTTGTAATTTTAGGTTATTTGTGCACTACGAGAAGCTGGGCTTGAGTCATCTAATTTAATACTAGGTATTGACTTCACAAAGAGCAATGAGTGGACAGGTAATTCTTATTTCCATCATATATTAGAGATTTTAAATTCTCATAAATGGGAGAAAAATAATACAATTTATCAATTCTAGGCAGGCATTCGTTTAACAGGAAAAGCCTCCATGCCATTGGTATCACCCCAAATCCATATGAACAAGCAATCTCTATAATTGGTCGTACTCTGTCTCCTTTTGATGAAGATAATTTGATACCCTGTTTCGGATTTGGTGATGGTTAGTATCTGTTTTAACATTGTTTTTGTTAGAAAGTACTCAGGGATCTTTTCTTGGACTTGCTAAATGATTATGTGCTCGTTTGCAGCAACAACACATGACAAATATGTATTCAGCTTTTATCCTAATCAACAGTATTGTCATGGTTTTGAAGAAGCTCTTGCTCGTTATAGAGAGATTGTTCCACTTTTGAAGTTGTCAGGTTCTTGATGTCTAACCTTTATATATTGTTTTATTTTAGCTCTGTAAACTGTCGATATTGTGTTTCACTTGCATATTTTCTACTATTGACTTCCTTAGCGAATCAGATTTTTAATTGGACTTATCTAATTTATGATATTAGATTTGAGTTCTTAAAGTATCAATGTAAGATAACACACTCTTCCTTCATGGAGTAATTCTGGTGTCCATGAGAGTATGTAATTGAAAAAAAAGGGTTCTAGATTACACAAATAAGTTTTTGAATTGAAAATTTCTTCCTTCATGGATTAGTTCTTCTGTCCATGAGAGCATGTAAGGCAAAAAAAAAAAAAAAATAGTGTTCTAGATTATTAGGAAAAAATGGTAAATCTAAGATTTTCTTCCTTACCCTGCTCCTAGAGTTGCACTTTCCTGCTTTGGTGACATGTATTACTAGGACTAAGTTGATGGTTATTATTTAAATGGCATTATTATTATAATTTCTGGTTACAAGTACATATGACCAGAAAATTATATATTTTTACATGAGTTGACCTAAAGAAGCAAAATTGTTTTAAAAAATTTGAGAATGAAACAAACTATACTTGCCTAAGAAGGTTTAAGTAATTTTTGGGAGGTCAGTTAGGTCCTCTGTCTCAAAAATGATTGCTTTGTGTTGTACTCATGTTACATAAGTTATGTTTCTATTAGTAATTTAGAGTTTTCTATTTGTGGGTTCTCTACAACTATAAACATGGAACTAGCTAGTTTAGCTAGTAAGATCTTTGGTGGCTGTGTAAGCAGTCCTGGATTTTAATCTTACTCGAACTGCAATTGAGTTTTATCCTATCAGCATCACCATTATTTAATAAATTAGACATGTTTATTACTAAAATTGGTTTTTATAATTGAAGCATTGCTACAAATATGGGAAACATTTTATATCTGCATTGTATTGGATGATACATGTTACTACCTTTTTTCAGTTGTCATGTCTGCATTTTACACATTCATTCTTGTTAATTGCATTTGGGCTTTGATGAATTAAAGTTGATGCTGATGATTTCTTTCCCTTTTTAAGGTCCAACCTCATTTGCACCGATTATTGATGCTGCAATTAACATTGTGGAGGCAAGCAACAGGCAGTATCATGTGCTTGTCATTATTGCTGATGGACAGGTTTGTAAAACGTTTTTTCTGCCCTATGGTTTCATATCTTTAAGTTTTTGCTTCTTCCATTACCTTCTCCTCATGGCTGAATGTTTATGGGACCAAATAGGTTACGAGGAATCCTGATACACCAACTGGAAGTTTCAGTCCACAGGAACAGGAAACTATAAACTCCATCGTCGCTGCTAGGTAAAGCAATACCATCTCTAATCTTGAGTTACAATCATGTCATTATTGCTGTCTTGATCACTGGCATTTTGGTGAATAGCCACCATCCTCTCTCGATTATTTTGGTTGGGGTGGGAGATGGACCATGGGACTCAATGAAACAATTTGATGATAGCATTCCTCATCGCTCCTTTGACAACTTCCAGGTACATGATAATCTCTGGCTAGTCAATGAGGTGTATGTGTTTACTTTAAATTTTGATGAGGTTTAAGATAAATTGCTTTGCATATTCTAAAAGTGTTGTAACTGGGATTGATTCTCTTAGAAATAGAAACATCTTAATCCTCTATAGATTTTTGAAGCCATTAATTCCTGTAGTACACTCAAACTGAATTTCTGGGTGAATCTTTTAAAAATTTAGCTTGTAATTTGGTTATGAAAAATCTCATTGCGTATAGGTGATGATGGTGTAATTTTCTTGATTTCTACGGTGCAATTTGTAAATTGCGTAATGTACTAAAAAATGACATATGTACTGCACTATGGAATTGAGTGAATAGGCTGTAGTGTTCTTTGAAGATAAATCAGTTAAAAGAAGTTTTCAGATGCAGATTGCTCACTTTGCCAAACATGTTCCAATATTATCATCTAAATTCTTTATTTTATTTTATTTTATTTTTTTGGCGACTTTTCATTTGATGTAGTTAATTGAAATATGTTGTGGCAGTTTATATTTACTTTCCTTTGCCTTTTGTAGTTCGTCAACTTCACAAAAATAATGTCCGAGAACACAGACATATCAAAGAAGGAAACAGCCTTTGCACTTGCGGCTCTCATGGAAATTCCACTTCAGTACAAAGCCACGCTAAGCCTTCCTCCTGTCAAGTAAGGCCAGGAGCTACAGTTTTAACTAATGTCCAATTTCATTTTATGAATTTTCTATAAAATAAAGCATTTACCTGTGCAGTGAAGATTTTGTCACTGATCCACGCACGAGGTCGCTTCCACCTCCACGTGAAGTGATTGATCATGATAATGCAGTTATGTTCGTTCCTCCCATGCCTAACTCTGATACAGTAGGGCCAACAGCACCAGCAGAACCAGTATGTTTTTTCCCAAAACCCTTCTACTAAAGTTCTCTTTGAATGAGTATATGGTTTTGAGACACAAGTTTGTGTTCTTCAAGGTATGCCCCATTTGCTTGACAAATCCGAAGGACATGGCTTTTGGTTGTGGTCATACGGTAAGTGCATTCGATCAATTTTTCTTGTGGGTTTTTATATCAAAATGTAATCATGCTGGTATATTTATAGTGGTGTCAGGATCAAATTTAACAAAGTTCTCTAATTAAACTCTTATATTATTCCTCATCCTTTGTTGGTAATTTTTTATCAGTGTTAACTTTCTTGAAAAGATTACTAAAAAGGATGTATTGTGTACGACTGTGTGTACATGGATTAGTCTACAAGAAAAACAAAACAAACTAAACTTTTAAAACATTTTAAATTCCTAAACTAGGAATAGTTAGAAAAACCTGAAAAGTTGAGAAAAATAAGAGCTAGGATGGACAGAAAGCAAAACGAACAACACTCTACTGAAAATTAACATGAGCTTCTAGATAAGAAATACATATATTGAAGGCCCTGCTATTATGGCAGATTTCTTGTTGTTGCTTTAAATATTGCAGCTTACCCCTCTGAACTCTCTCTCCCAAACTCCCAAAACACAGACCTTCACAGAACTGAAGCCATAGACCACAACCATTTCCTGGATATAAAGTGAGATCACAGATCACATCCCATAGGCTGCCAAACACTGAGATGTAAAATATCAACTGTCTTTCATTCCTTATGAATAAAATCATTAATTAGTGAGAATTTCTTTATTCAATTAAGTTTTCGGCTGTAAACAGCACCACTTTCAAAGGAGTGGTGGCACACCATGAATTTACATGCAGGGTTGAGATTGGTTGGTTTGGTCATCTTAATGTATTATTCCTCGAAACTGTTTTAAGCACACCCTAAATAGACTTAATTGTTGCACATGTTAGGTCCTTCGGTCATTACTATCTACTAAGCTCTTTCATGTGACTTTGTCTTGTTCCTTCAAATATAAATTATGGATATCATCTAGTAGCGGCTAATGTTTTCAGTAATAGTTCCATCAAACTAGTAAACACCAAGAGGAACTAATAATTTGATCGTAAAAATATGGATGTTCCAGTAAGTTATATTTTAACATAAACACTTCGAGATTCCCTTGGTTTTGGTTTAAGAGGAAAGTGGGAAGAATTTGAATTGCTGTGTAATCAGTTACGAATTAAAAAGAAAAACCAAAGTTGATGAGTATCCACGGACACTAGTTATATGGAAGTAAATATAGAATTCATGAAAGTTAGTTACCGAGGAGAACTGAAAGAGACAGAAGATTGACATGTTTATAATCCCTATTGAAATAGTTAAAAAAATGAATGAAAACATTGCATTGTCTTCAGAAATGTAATGGATATTGCATCTTCAAATTAGTGGTTTGTCTTTGTCTAATGTCTTGTGAAATGTAACAGATGCTCATTCTCAATTTTTTTCTGGAATTGCCTGATAAGGAAATTTAGCTAATAGCGCCTTTTTTTTTTTTTTCTCTGTTGAAGACTTGCAAGGATTGCGGCGCTACATTATCAACATGCCCAATGTGCAGGCAACAAATAACATCACGCTTGAGGTTGTATACTTGACCAGGAGTTACTTCCTCGATTTTCAAAAATTAATGTATCATTGAGATTTTACATTAAGCATACTATCTATAGGAGGTTGACCAGCACTTTCGTGTGAATCCTGTATATATGCCGATGTTTTGGGTTGCATAATCTGTACAAATTAGTATTATATTATTAACGAGGTTTTTTGGTGTCGGAATCGAACATTATTTTGCAATATGTATAATTTTCAAAACATATTATTTTGTTATGCAATTTGATTTGAACTTTTTGTTAGTGTTCAACAATCTCATGTTATTGACCAGTAATCATAGGGTCCACATGTTAAAAATTGTTTGTTTATAATCTGTAACATTGACGTCTGTAATATGGAATGCCATATGATGCTATAAAAAAACAAGACATAATCATAGTATAATATGAATGGAATTTTAGTGAAGTTAATTATGAAAATGAGGGAATTAACTTGTCCCGAGTCCCGACAAGTTGGGATAACATCACCCCTCCAGTAACAGAAAACTCAACAGTTATGAAAGGTTACTAACCGTAGTTATATTTGCACAAATGACCATAGCAGCTATTTCTTCTTCTCTTTCTGATCTCAAGTTACAAAATCAAAACAAAAAATTCATGATTCAGAGTTGATCTTGATTCCAAGCTCTGTTGGACTTGGAGTCACAATCACATGATTTCATCCTATGGAGATTTTATACAAAAACATTTACAAAACTCACTTTAACTTGATAAACCCTACCAACTTCAGACTTCAGTACACGAATGCTATCAACCAGAAAACTAAACTTACAAGATTTTAACAAAGGAGAACTAGATGAACCTTGATAGACTCTTCAGAAGTTCCACCGGTCCAACTGACGCATTGCTTCAGCCATGTCTTTTTGTGCCTTCTTTCTCCGGTAAAATATGGGACAGTCCCGACTGTGAAGAAAGCATATCATATTATAATTAAACTATAAAAAACATATAAGCAGACATGACGAGTACAACCAATGAAGTGATTGCCACTCCATAATAGTTGCATCACAAACATGCAAGTTCCGAAGAGGCAGAAAAAAATTTCATCGACAACTGATTCAGTAATCGGAAAGGGATCCCTCTCAGTTGCAAAACATTCCAAGCTTTTCCCTTCGAGAGTAAGGAAATGGTACAAACCTAGTGCAGAGCACATCCTGATGAAGAGAACCTTGACATTCTTGGCACTGCGTCCAAAGCCTCCCAAAAAGTTCCTCTAGTTCTGATACTGCAACCACTCAATGTTTCAGATAATTAACACTTGATTGTCCAGAAAATGTTGAAGTTACTTCACATGAGAAACCGCAAAGATCAGAAAGCGATGCCTACCATGAGAAACAGTTTTGCAGTACAGCTCAGCTTCTCTTCCTTTGCAGTGTGGGCAGAGGGTTCCATCACTGGCCAAAATCAATGATAGTTTGTCATGAATTCTTAAAAAATAGTAATAGTACTAAAGGTATGTTTTGGCAAAGCATGGAATTCAGCCTTGGAATTGGGACGTGAAAAAATTGGAAGCCTTCTTCCTTGCAAAAATTATTGACTGATATCTAACATACCCTCACAACACAATAACATATAAAATATGAAAACACAAAAATATTATTTAAATTCTAACAAATGGAAAAAAGAATCTCAAGGATGGGGTGAAAGAAAAGAGAGAGAGAGAGAGAACAAATTGTACCTAATAAGCGTTTTGCAGCCAATGCAAGTTAGTTTTTTCTTAGCAAATTTCATTATGCCACTATTTGCAGGAGTGATGATGGAAATAGATCTTGTGTGACTTCCTTGGAGAAGTTCTTGGCTAGCATTCTTCAAAATGGGCTCAAAAATTCTTAAAATTGGCTGTTAATTTTCAGAAAATTGTTAGCACGCAAGTAAAATGGGAAAAGAAAAAAAACAAGTACTTTCCGTTAAACTAACCTTCGCAATCTGATTATCAAGATAATACTGAGTGTCTATCGGAATATTATTTTCTAGCACATAAATAGGATCCTCTGACCTCTCATAAGCCTGATCATCATTGAAGAATTAATTTTGATAAACCAGAAATCTGTATACTAACAATTATTCAATGGTAGTAAGACTTTTAAAAATAAGAAAAAACCCAAAAGAAAGATTACCTTGGCACCTTTAGCAGCTTTTATTATGACATATGGTACACGATCCCCAACATTTGGAGCAGTGGCAGCATCTCTCTGTGAATAACAAATTAACAATATTATTTATATTCCATCCTTGCTATGATATAAGCGTAGCCTTTTTAGTAAAGATTTATTCTGTTAAGGAGTCATATGCCAATGGCTGGAAAAAAAAAAAAAAGAGGGAACTGTTTACTAAAATATCACCAGCAAGAATACGACAAAGAAAGCACTGAATCAAGGTTGTTATTGACAGCACCCAAGACAAGTGCAATGATACAAAATATGTCATGTCAATGAATCACCGCCTGAAAGCATATTCCAAAAAACAAAATTGATTTCANTATGGTACACGATCCCCAACATTTGGAGCAGTGGCAGCATCTCTCTGTGAATAAAAAATTAACAATATTATTTATATTCCATCCTTGCTATGATATAAGTGTAGCCCTTTTAGTAAAGATTTATTCTGTTAAGGAGTCATACGTCAATGGCTGGAAAAAAAAAAAAAGAGGGAACTGTTTACTAAAATATCACCAGCGAGAATACGACAAAGAAAGCACTGAATCAAGGTTGTTATTGACAGCACCCAAGACAAGTGCAATGATACAAAATATGTCATGTCAATGAATCACCGCCTGAAAGCATATTCCAAAAAACAAAATTGATTTCACAATAATATGCAATAATTTTTCTATTATGGGTTCATACCGACCTTACGCATTCTTTCAGCAAGTTCAACATGAGCTGCTTTTACTTCATAATCATCTCCTGTCTTTGTCAGACCCTGTTACATTTGTGCAGGCCACTTATATCAATGACAAATGATACAAACTTAGCCAGGAACATAAATATTCTTAAACACAATCCAAGAACCATGTAAAGACTATATTCAAAATATATCCCAACCTTAGTAATCACCAAAAGTGACAAATCCATGCGGTTCATGAGAAGATCTGAAATGGTATTCTTGACATACTGAACGGCACCAGGAACATCTCTGTCAATTAGTATTTTATGAAGGCACTCGGTTACAAGGTTTTTAACCAATAAACAATTGTCTCTTCGAACTGTTTCAATGCCTGTCCATGAGAAACATGATGAGAGACAAGACAAAAAATGCACAGAAGCTCAAATGGTTGAGAAATACAGTTCTTTACCTTTAGTATCCATTTTGTCGAACTTTTTGGGGTTTGTCCAGAACAAACCAGCATATCTCTTCTTGCTGATCAATAGATATGGATAATAAACCTTCTCAAACTCTAGTTTGATAGGCTTCATCACACATCCCAAAACAAAGACAAATAAATAAGAAAACTAATCCTACATTAATTACAAAGATGGAGAAAATAAATGTCTTATATTGAAGTTATGTACACAGAAAGCATAATTTATTAAATGTAGACCTGCACGATTTCATTATTCTAACTAAATATAAAGGATGTTGATAACAGAGTTTAAAAATTCCCAGAAGGCAAACAATATCTTCCATAAATAAATTTCAAATATTTGATACTATCAAGGTCCACCTATATATTAAGTGAAACACATTGAAGGTAAACAATATCTTCCATAAATAAATTTCAAATTACAGATGAGATAAGATCATGAACAACATGATCTGAAATAAAGATAAGCCTAGCTTCAGAATTCTGACACATATATATGTATTTGTCATTTGGCATCCTAGAGAAGTTTAGATTCAGGCAAAACATTTTTAATTGGCAAATTGGAAACTACAATCTCAAGTTGTTATCCTCATCCTTTAGCATCTAAAAAAACTGTAAGTCCAAACCCAATTCAACTATTTGGCAACTCCAATTGATAGCTAATTATCATCCTGGCAAGAACTATGCTTAGATTTTGCTTGATACACTTCTTCAGGTAGAGCTTTATATGTAGAGGAAGTAGTTATCCTGGTAGAGCTCAAGAAGCAGAGTCTCAACAAAAATCATATATATATATTGTTTGTTTGGTTGTCAACCACTTCTAATAAATGAAAAATAAAAAATAAATGTTACTATATCAAACATATGTTTAGATTAAAAAGAAGTATTATGTTATGAAAAGGTTCAGTGGAATTTGTGAATAGATAAAAGTGCATAATTTTGGATAATATAACATTTTAAAAACATAACATTTGAGTTTCTATTAGTCAACAAAAAGGAGATTTTTATCTCGAGAAGGTCTTCCCAAATTGCAACCAAGCAATTAGAAAAAAAATCAACATTTTTGCATCCAGAAGTATCTCTTTTGCCTATTCCAAAAATAATAATAATAATAATACTCTAATGGGCATAAATACTAGCCTTAACAATAAATTCTATAAAAATTAAAGAATGTTGAGACGTGCTGTATTCAGAGAATGAAGTTAAGAAACTTATGTAAAAGAATACACACACACACACAAACACACTTACTTTTATGAAAGTTCCACTGATGTAATCAGCAGCTTCTCTCCCTAAATTCATAGCTTCCTCTACGGTAGGTACACCAAATTGTACCATAACAGAGTCTGTATCCCCATATATAACCTGCAAAAATAGAAGTATCAAGTTAATAAGCCATGAGGCAACACTACCAACCCATAACAAAAAACAAAAGAAAATATAGTACACACATAATTGTCTACAATTAACTAATCTATCCCCTTGAGGACACACAAGTACTTTCTATTGTACAACTTATTGTGTGCTGTAAGACATAAAAGTATAAAATATAATATTAAAAAAAAAAAAAAAAACTCAACGAAATTATATGTAGACAGGCAAACACACATAATTTAACTACAAGCTTATAAAATGATATAACCTAAGGCAAATTGAATTTATTGGGGTTTCAGATTAAAAAAGTAGTAACTACACAGTAAAAGGGTTATGAGAAATTAATGAGTAGCATTACAAGAATATTGATTCACATTTTCACACCACCAACAATCATCCATGCCAAGTTATGGACTCTTAATTACAACAACCAGGTATGACATAGATACTCTTTTGAAAAGAGAAACTTTCAGTCTGGCAGCCATACTAGTTTTCAGCAGTGGCATCCATTAGGTACCACTAGGTGAA